CAAATAGTACGTCACATTGTAAAAGGACAAAAAAACATTCAGCAAATCTCAATTGAGGAAAACTATCTACATATCAAGTGAACAAGCCGCGACATACATAAGATATCACACGCATCTCTGTTTAATTAATTTAAATCAATAAAAAAAAACGAAAAAAATAACACATTCCACTAATTCTATATTGCAAAATGAAAATGAGGTACACCATATGTAGGCCTACTTATATTACTTTTTTTCCGCCTCACAAATGTAATTTACAGCGTCAGTTAGCCTTACATGTTCGCTTTAGTATTGCATTTTTCATCATCGGCTTTTGAGGACCGATACAGATTTACAAAAGTAATATTTTTGTCTTACTTGTAGCCTACTTACTTAATTTAAGATGGTTTACTTATACATAGATCTAACACAATTTTATAATATCAAAAACAGTGGCTAAGGCACCCAATACAGGTTTAACGAATGCTTCAAATATCTTTAAATACCTTACATAATAAATATATTAGTCTCCTATTAAATTTTAATCAAATTAAAATAGTCAAAAATATGAAATGTAAATTTTAGAAAAAAAATGTGTATTGAACAGAATATTTTTTTTAAAACTGTTATTTAGATGTTAAAGATTGTTGCGAACATTACGTCTAATTATTTGTCAATAACTTTTTTACTACATCTTTAAATTATGTCCCTTAGTCTTTTTAATACTAAATATGGGAAGTGACTAATACATAAACACATACATGTAATGGATATGCAAACATTTTACACTGATTTAAAAAACAAATGCGTATATTTTATTGCAAACCAAAATGTTTGATATCAAAAAATAGATTACTAATCTTACTCAACAAACACCTGGTTTGTCATCAGCACTATTTGGTACTGGGTTAGTAACCAACTTCTCACTGTGTGTTAAAGAATTCTTTTTTTTCTGCTCCGGCGTTGACTTGTGTGGCCAGGTTTTTAGAAAATGTTGGATTTGACTGAATCATTTCTTCAGCCCTTCTTTGAAAGTCCAACCCACTGTTTCATCATACGCCGAATTGTTGCCTTATGTCATTTTCTAAACACACTTCTTTATCTGGTAGTTCCTTTAATCGACTATTTTCTATATCTGATAAATTCTGTTCTGAACAGATCTGTTTATCTGAATACTAATCACCTTTTCTCTCTAGAAGATTACCCCATGTTTATCTAACGGTGCTTTGTTCAAATTAAAACAAACTGTTAACAGCAAACAAAATGTTTGAATTATGAAGGGCTTCTAGCTTGTTTAAAACCAAATAAATAGTAAAAAAATGTCTGGATTTGAAAACTCACTCATTAGTTTGTATAGGAAAGCTTTTTAATTCTTATTTTAGATAAAATTAGAATCGTCGTAGTCTGTAATGACTATGAAATCTATTTCAATGGACTTTAGGGATAAGATCATTTATAAATATAATTGTATGTATGGGATCCCAACAAACACTTTGCCATCTCGTCGATGTGCTTGGGGACACGTTGTTTTCTTTTAAATTTCTATTTTAGCAAAGGTCTCTGTTCCTCTACCTGCTGGACCTCAGCATTCTAACAAAATTCTCAAGCATCTCCACATTTTTAACTACTAGACTAACTAGACTCTCTGGATCTAGATCTAGCCTAGCATTCTAGATAACCAGGTCTTCTACTTGAGGTCTTGAGATTAAATTTTTAGACCAGATACTTCTTTATAAAATAAGTTTACTACGTTTAAGTAGTCAAGAGGAGAAGTCAAATGATAGAAAAATGAAATGTTTTGGTGTCTTGTATTGTAAATTTTAATTACTCTTTCGGTTTTCGAATTCAATTCATATCATATGATAAATTCAATCTACAAAATACATACACTATTGACAAAATTTTACATATATATAATTTAATATTTATTCTTTATATCATAATATATAGTGAATGTCATTTACTGCTTTGTGACCAAACAAAATTACCATATTTGTAGTCTAATATTTAGATTGTCTCCCTTAGAGTTTTTAAAAAGTGTAAGTTGAAACTAACTTAAACAGAAATTAAACAAACATATTATTAAACAATATATGTCGTTATACAAAACATTATACTTCTACATTAGAATTAGTTATAAATAAACATTAAATAAAATGTATCAGTAAAACTAACACTAGAGTGAACAGATGCGTAGCGACCCTTCCCGGCGCCCGGGGACGAACTTTGAATTTGGCGCCCCCTTCGAGAGCAAATTTTCGATTTGCACCCCCCCCCCCTCCTCAAACTATTTATAATGCGAAAATGCAGCAAAAATTACATTTTAATTTGTTTTTACAACCCATTTTAGCGCCCCCTAAGGTCGGCGCCCGGGGACATATGTACCCCCCTGCCCCCCCCCCCCCCCCCCCCCCCATCGCTACGCCTCTGGCGGTGAAACACACAAACAAGACAAAAAGACTATCTTGCATTTGTGTTTTTTAAAAATTATAAAATTATCGGTGCCTTTATTCAAGCGGTTCTTGGTGTTGTTAGTGCATACAACTCGTTCATGGCCTTCTAAAATGTTTGACAATCAAAGGGTGAAGTATTTGTATCAACGCACTTTTTATTTTAGTTAAACATATATTGTTTTAAAATGTTTTATATCGTTCGACTTAGTCATCTGGCATATTCTCTTTTACTATATTTGTGTGGACGTCCACCTTTGGGGGAAGGGGGGGGGGAGGGAACATGGACACGTTTGGATGGAGGGGGATAATGGTTCTAAAATCCCAATTTTTTGTGGACGTCATAAATGGATGCCCCCAAAGGTACTCTATATACATACATAATGCATTTGCTTATGTAAAAAACAAAGCACTGAATGCCAAAATTAAATATATTATGTATATACAAATAATTTGTGAATGATCGTATATAATGAGTGTACAGCGTTTAAGTATTATGTTTGCCTTTCTGTTATATTTTTCGTTTCACAATTTCAAACGTAGGTAAGTAATTATCATTGATCGATTAAATGAAAGGAAATAATCGATAACTTTGTTTCATTAAAGGCATAGTGAAATAATGGGCAGAAACCTTTACAGATACAGCAAACTCAACCATCTCACATGACCTGCTTTATTGAACGAGGTGTGACGTCTTTTTAGATGTGGGGGGGGGGGAGGTCTGGCTTTTTGTGACGATGTAAGACGGTGGGGACAAACAAGGTTGGGTTGGGTTTGGACGGTACAAATACAAATATTCAAATAAGCGTTTTGTATGACTACAGCGTAACAGAAACATCATAGTGGCCACGCGTTGATAGAGACAACACATTTGACAGTGACATAAGAACGTTTCTGATATATCTTGGTTTTATGTCTATATTTTGGAAAATATAAACGTGTGCTAAGAGTATGTAGGCCTAGTGTAAAAGAGTTTGAACGAGCGGGTGTCAAATATCGACAACTATATCTGAAGAATTAAAATAGCAGTTTAAAGAATTAACTCATTAGTGTTAAACATATCTAGCTGCACTTAAATACTTCTTGCTTCTTCAATGTTACTTTTTTTTCTACCACTATACTTGTAATTAGAACCGTTTCGTATTATTTTCTCTTTCTTAATTTGTACTTTATCGTATACGAAGTATAGAGAAAGTATTGCAAACGTGCAAAAAAACGACAGTTTTGCAAATCTCGACGCTTTACACCTTCCTTAGTAGGAAAAACATAATTTTGCACTCTTGCCCGTGTGTCTATGTGTGTATATATGTGTGTGTGTGTGTGTATATGTGTCTGTGAACACGATACCTTTAGTACCGTTACAGCTAGGTTGATGAAACGTCATGTATGAGTATTATATCAAATGTGTAGTTCTGTGTCAACTTTTCAGCGATTTTAAAAAACCGTAAGTGGTACTTATTCTACTTTCATTTTTTTTTCAGAAACCTATAACTTAAATACTGTTTCAGATAGATAAATTAAATTTTACACATACGTAAAAGATCAAATTTTATGCCTATTTTTCAAATTTGAGTAATTTCCGTTGAACATAATTAGTAATTTACGTTATTTCCGATTTCTCAAAGAAATGTGAATTTATTAAATACTAATAATATTCAACACTATTGTACATAATGTTTTGGAGTTCACTTGGTGCGCAATTCTTTTTTCTTCGAGATTCTGTTATATTTTAAAAAGTTTAATAATTAAAAATTGATTTAAAATAATTTCTATATCCCAAAGTGCCTTCCCTCTTAGTGTTATATAAAGATATTAGAGAAAGTATAGGAGAGATCACTCCCGGTTTATTTATTTTTATTATTTTTTTATTACACATTGAAACCTTAATTGTTTGGTTATAATACAAGGTAGCATTTTTTTTCCTATCCTATATATCGTTGGCTATTTAATTATGCCGTTTTTTTTTCTTCTTTCATTAATGCAAGCTAATGTGTGATGAGGGAAGATTAAATGCTTTAATTTATCAACTACATAATATAATGGTGACTGTTTAAGTGGTCTCAAGATGTGTTTGTTTAATTAAGCTCAGCTATCAAGATATGACTAGCGATCAACTTTTTTCGTCATTATATTCTGGTCAGCATCATAGTTTTCTACGAACTACGCTTATTGAATGCTACATCATTGTTTTTAGAATTATACATTATGTTTGTTCAATACCAATTAATTATTGCTGTTGTATCACACTTCAGAATTTACTAATTTTTTTTGTAAGGTGAATACTAAAGTAAATATATTTATGTAACCAAAATATCAACACGAAGTATTATTATACAATAGAAGTATTCATACATCGTGTATTCCTTCATTTAACTGAGATGGGATCATGTCGAGCTGATATCCTTTCACTGACTTCAAGATGTCAAAGTTATGCTGTTACATTTTTGCCTGTTACATTTCAAGCTTATTTTAATTCTGGATTCATTGAACAACAAAAAAATTAAGACAACATAACACGCATATTAAGCTAACAAATTTAGTAAAACTTTGCAAATTATTCAGTTTATTGAGAAGAAAACTGCCCTATCCCTGTGAACCCTTCATCAATTCTAGAATTCTTTTTATTGCTTGATCCATTACATCTTTCGATGGTAAGTTGCGACGAACTTGATCATTAATCTGCAAGAAAATTGTTCTGGTAGTAGACTCCAGTTTTTTTAATGTTTATAGCTCATTTTATTTGTAGATAATTATCTCTCTCTCTCTTTCTCTTTCTCTTTCTCTTTCTCTTTCTCTTTCTCTTTCTTTCTCTTTCTCTCTCTCTCTCTCTCGCTCTTTCTCTCTCTCTCTCTCTCTCTCTCTCTCTCTCTCTCTCTCTCTCTCTCTCTATATATATATATATATATATATATATATATATATATATATATATATATATATATATATATATATATATATATATATGCATGTGTGGTCCTTGATTAAAAAAGAATCGAATAATGTAGTACAAAAATGAAGAAGAAAATGTAGTGAATTGTTTTTTAAATGTGTAAATATCTACTGAACTTCAGATAAATTACTAGATAAATCATGTTATGAATGAGTGAATCAATGATTTAACGGGTATTTGATTTAGCAAATTAAAAATGTATCAATAACCGAATGAACGAATGAAAGAAAGAACGAACCGACACAAAAATGAATGAATTAGCGAACGGACGCATAAAAACAGACTAACGGTTAAATGAATTTGATGGATGAATGAAAAATTTCACACATATTTGAAAGAAATAATTAACTATTAAACGAAATTAAACGTTATTAAACGAAACACGAATTGCCTTCTGCGTTGTTCTTAATTTGGATGTTTGAAGAGATTTTCCCCCAACCCAACTAAAATGTTACATTGTGACGCATAGGACGTTGATCCCAACTTTAGATAGTTCCTTTCAGTATTTGCTTCCATCTAGAACAAGCTACATGGCGGAAGTCAGGGGCGGAACTACCATACCGCCAGACCCCGCAATGCGGGGGGGGGGGGGCAGGACGTTTAGGGGCCCAGTTCCGACCAAAAAACATTGAATTTTTTTTTCAAAAATTAAGTTTTTCATGCATCTTGAAAGTGGTTTTGTAAAAAAAAAAAACAGGTCACCTATAGCAGAGATTGTTGCGTAGAAAAATATTTTAAAATCTACAAGAGCTATAGTTTGAAAGGTAGGTAAACATTCACACTACTTCCAAGCCTTACTGCCCTTCTTTAAAATAGGGATGCCCACGAAGCTCATTTAAATAGTTTTGTACTATGTATATTAAAAAGCAATTGATTCTCTGAATTGTTACTTAAATAAGACGTACTATACAATAGTATGGCTATAAAAATCAATGTTTTCAAAATTGATATTATTAAAGCCAAAAATGAAAAAAATAAACATAACGCGAGAAACCATTCACGAGTCAAGCTAACGTCTTTATATATTTTTGACCAGCATGATTACGATACTATTCTAACTCGAACTAAGTGTGGACTAAATTTTTCTGTTTTGTTCACTCAGAATGGTTATATATTGCAATGAAGTAGACTAAACTACTCACTTAGGATATAGATCAGGGGTTCCCAACCTTTTTTTAACTCTAGAGCACATTCTAAAATATCGGTAGGGTGGAGGGCACCGCCTATTTTAAATCGACAAACTCCTTCCAGAAGCGTAGTGTCCCTTCCCGACTTGCACCCCCCCCCCTCAAACTTTCGATTTTCACCCCCCCCCCCTAAAATTTTCAATTTGCACCCCCCTCAAATTTTCGATTTACACCCCCCCCCCCCGTTCAAATTTTCGATTTGCACCCCCCCCCCCCTCAAACTTTCGATTTACATCCCCTTCAACCTTTTCAATAATGTTTATGAAAAAAATTCTGTCTCTGTCGAATAGTGAGAGGCGGGCACATACGAATCGTTCGGCGGGCGCCGTGGCGCTCGCGGGCACGGGGTTGAGAACCCCTGATATAGATTTTGTATATATATATATATATATGTATATATATATATATATATATATATATATATATATATATATATATATATATATATATATATATATATATATATATATATATATATATATATATATATGTATAGGGGGCCCTAGTTTTTTCTTTGCGGGGGAGCCTTTGATTTCTAGTTCCGCCACTGGCGGAAGTTGTTTGATTTTGGAGTTTACACTCCTAGCAATGTTGTTGTCCCCAGCTATCGAGTTTGATTTACCCGGGAATTCAACCTTGGAATTCTTTGGTTTAGCAATAGTGAGCTTAACCTACACTTTATCAGCATAATTTTTTTAGAAGATTCATATTTCTCCTGTGTAGTGTATCATACATAATTCATTCGGGGTGGGGCGGGTGAAATGTAAATAGTTGAAAAAACAACAGTGTGGCGAAAGTCATGTTGTAATAACAGGTTTAATTTTTCTGAACATTATTTCGGCGAAATAAAATCTACCACAATTGATACATAAATATATAGCAATAACGCTATTTATACATTAAAACATGAATATATTACCTCCTCTTCCACTGTGGCGTAGGTGATGGCACAGAATAGCCAAACGCTCAAAATGAGTAGGGTCAGAAGCTTCATAATGATCAGCTACATAGAAAGTAAAACATTGTTTTATAAGTTTAAACTTAACCTATATATACATATTAGTTATGCTATATATTATATAAGCTACGCAAGGTGATTAACGGAATGTATTGCACATTGCACAATATACAGCTTACCCTAAAGGATTTGATGTCAGCGGCAATGTGATGGTAAGCACACAACTTTGAGATGTAGTGTTGTCTAAATTTACTTGGTTTATATACATTTACTCCAGCTGTTGTAAGCTCAATTATAATATTCATTTTTAACGATTTAAAGGTTCTCAACGTAGAGACAGGTTAACATACGTTAGATTTCTAGCATTTTATTTGCGCCAAATGTTACGTATATTTGAGACTCTTTAGAATAAAATGACGAAATTATTCACACTAACATAGTGGAACACAGTGCCAGCATCAAAATCGTTTTGCTTGAGAGCATCTTCTATTTTTATCAACGAACCATCTTGTCTGATGTCTAAATTTTCATATTTAATATTTAATGTATGCTGGTGTTATATTTCGTTCTTTCAAAATTATTTTTAGCACTGTCGGTGAATAGGGAGATCTGGGTCTAAGGTCTAGGGGCAGATAATTTAATAGCTGAGTCTAGGGTCTAGGGGCAGATAATTTAATTGTGGAGGCTTGTGTACAATCGACTAAATCAGGAGTCTAGGGTCTAGGGGCAGATAATTTAATAGCTGGGTCTAGGGTCTAGGGGCAGATAATTTAATAGTGGGGGCTTGTGTACAATCGACTAAATCAGAAGCCTAGGGTCTAGGGGCAGATAATTTAATAGTGGGGGCTTGTGTACAATCGACTAAAACAGAAGGAGCTCAAAACCATTTTTACTTTTTACAACATCCAATTCACAACCCCTACCCTCACTGTTCTTCCCAAAGTAGTAATCAACTAGCTCTAGGGAAACATATCAATACATGAAGAATAATTCAGTTGAAAAAGTCGTGGGTGCAAATTGATATTAAATTGACCACACGGTTGTAGATTTTGTTAAGCTAGAGAGACATAGATAAAGAAAAAATGTAATCAGAGTAATTTAGTTAACATTTGAGAAAAGTAATGCAAGTAAATTTAGTTTAATAGATGGCTAAACACGATGGAGTTATATTTTAACGTGTGTGACTTAAGGCAGAGAATACAATAAATTAACGTCAGTTAATAGAACTATATTTTTAAAGGCAATTTTGAAAGTTCCATTTTATGCTGCTGACTGATTTAGAATGTATTTTAAAATCCTTTATAATTTTCGAAAAGCTATTTTTGAGACATTAATGAATGTAGAGCCCGGATAAGATCACAAAATAAAAGTCTGACATAGTTTTAGCCGTTAAAACTTTTATTTCAGCCTAAAAAAACGACCAACGATCTGATGTTTCTCAACTCTCACAGACTCCCCATAGACACAGTGGAGGCTAAAGAAAACTATACGGGCGTGTTGTTTTGTTCTAGCAAATCATTGAATAAACTAGAATTATACTGTGACAAGGACAATAAACAAAATCAGGTCATGTACTTAAAGCCTGGAGTGGAGATTACAGCAGATCGCTTGTCCCATGGGAAGGAATGTTCTTGGCAAGATCTTATTCATGCTGTAGAGAACATATAATGCTTAATATCAGATGTAATAATTATACATGGTCTAATGTACAATGTGTTAGGTTTTATATACAATGGAATCATTTGTCCTGAAATCATTTTCAAGAGATCATTTGTTTGTGAGATATTCAGTCTGGGATATTTAGTCTGAATTTATGTGTCCTGTCACCCAAACCAAAAATATAGCGAATATAGCGAGTAAGTGTTAGGAATCTGTTTTTTAAAAGCTAACAATGGCAGTAAAAAAGTAAAGTGTTTTGCCTGATAAATTACTTTCAAAAAGGAATAAAGCAGATGGCAGCTCATAAACTTTTTAATTTATTTTTTAAAACATTATTATTTGTCTCAGCTTCGTATTCTGCCTAAAGAGACAAAATATCAGACACAACTTTTCATATAAATATAAAAAAAAATAACCCATCGATATCACAAATCATGCCAGGCAAAGCAATACAAAAACTTATGCTAGAATATCGATATAAGGGGAGATAACTAAAGCCAGGCTGTACAGTCGGGCAAACAATTAATGTTTAGCTGGTGTCAGCACATACATTTTTCTCTCTCTCACACACACAGACACAGACACACACACACAGACACACACACACCCACACACACACATACAGACATACATACACACACACAGACACACACACACATACACAATACACTCACACACGCACGCACAAACGGTAAAACAGTCTGAAGCTGTACAGTCGTGTGTGGTGTTCTCGCGAGCCTAATTATCGGGAACATTATTCTTGTGAGCCGTAGAGCGAGAAGTCTGGTGTAAAGGCTTCCTGCCGGTTACACCTGTTGCCGACACATACAATGTTTTCGATGGTTGGTAGAGATAACTGAAATCTGCATTGAGCCATAACAATTTTAAAGGGGCATGACGTTGGCAGAAAAAGATATACGTTTTTGACCAGTAACATTTAAACATGAATACAGCGTTGCTAAAAAATGATCTTTATTTATGGTAATCAGTCCGGGTGGGCGTGATCGATTTGTTCTAGCCCATGGTTAATTAAAACATGATACAATCTCTATAATATAGTTATACGAGCCGGCCCGCGGCATAACATACGCCGCTATTTAGTTGTTGTTTTTTCTACTATTCAGTATTTCATAATTTGTAAATTCGACAGTACCAACGCTGCCACTGAAAATATTTCTTTAAAACACTATAAGTAGCTTGTTAAGGACCATAAACCCCCCCATTCCTCCCCTCCCCCCTACGTTTAAAATCGTTTCAAACTAATTATCTGCCCGTAATAGTCGTCACTAAACCCGGATCTGTTTGTAAACATTTAGAGTAAACACAGCTAACTATGACCATGTAGGGGTGGGGTGGTAGGGAGCGCGTTTACAGCTTGTTTTCTAGCGTCTCCCAGAAGAGAATTATATATATACGAGCCGACCCGCTGCGTATCATACGCCGCTATTTAGTTGTTTTTTTTTCTACTTTTCAGAAAGCAGCCTCCTCTTAGTTACCTCCTCTAAGTTTAAAATCGTTTCAAACTAAATGATCTGCCCCTAATAGCCGTCACCAAACCCGTCTTTGTGATTGTAAAATGTAAACAGAGTGAACACCGCTCACCAGATCATGTGGGGGTGGGGTGGGGGTGGTAGTGATAGAGAGGAAGTGAGGGGAGTGCAAAGGCGCGCTTGCAGCTTGTTTTCTAACTGATCCCAGAAGAGAATTATAATTATAGATATGTGCGGGTGGGCGTGATCGATTCGTTCTAGATCATGGTTGATCATCTGAAAAGCTCTATGTTCACCTCAAGGAGTTCTTCACACCTACACATTGTTCTTCAAGTGCTAACACATACTTCTTTCTACATCCCACACTGTTCTCCACATACCCACACAATGCTCTACACAATGTACTTGATTCATACCGCAATTGTTTTACACAAACACACATTTTTTTCACACCCATAGTGATCTTAACACATCCACACAGTGATCTTAACACATCCACACAGTGATCTTAACACATCCACACATTGATCTTAACACATCCACACAGTGATCTTAACACATACACACTTTGATCTTAACACATCCACACATTGATCTTAACACATCCACACAGTGATCTTAACACATCCACACAGTGATCTTAACACATCCACACAGTGATCTTTACACATTACACACAGTATTCTTAACACATCCAGACAGAGATCTTACCACATCCACACAGTGTTCTTAACACATCCACACAGTCGTAACACATCCACACAAAGTGATCTTAACACATCAACACAGTGATCTTAACACATTCACACAGTGATCTTAACACATCCACACAGTGATCTTAACACACCCACACAGTGATCTTAACACAACCACACAGTGATCTTAACACATTCACACAGTGATCTTAACACATCCACACAGTGATCTTAACACACCCACACAGTGATCTTAACACATTCACACAGTGATCTTAACACATTCACACAGTGATCTTAACACACCCACACAGTGATCTTAACACAACCACACAGTGATCTTAACACATTCACACAGTGATCTTAACACATCCACACAGTGATCTTAACACATCCACACAGTGATCTTAACACACCCACACAGTGATCTTAACACATCCACACAATGATCTTAACACATCCACACAGTGATCTTAACACAACCACACAGTGATCTTAACACATCCACACAGTGATCTTAACACATCCACTCAATGATCTTAACACATCCACACATTGATCTTAACACACCCACACAGTGACCTTAACACACCCACACAGTGACCTTAACACATCCACACAGTGATCTTAACACATCCACACAGTGACCTTAACACATCCACACAGTGTTGTAAACACATCCACACAGTGACCTTAACACATCCACACAGTGACCTTAACACACCCACACAGTGATCTTAACACATCCACACAGTGATCTTAACACACCCACACAGTGACCTTAACACATCCACACAGTGTTGTAAACACATCCACAACAGTCTTTACCTACCCACGCGATGTAATAAAAAATCCCTCATTTATTTTCATACACTAACAACAGTTATAAATAGTTATACTAAAAATGTACAATTTAATTAGGATAGACATAAAACTACCAGCAGAAACAAAGATTAATTCCACCTGTTGCTGATAGTGAGGGGCTTCTCTGAGACGGCTGGGTGACAAACAGTTTCTCATCTACGACAGTTTACTGTTGGTAGACAAAAAGTCTCTCATCCAAAACAGTTTACTGTTAGTAGACAAAAGTCTCTCATCCAAAACAGTTAACTGTTGGTTGACAAAAAAATCTGTCATCCAAAACAGTTTACTGTTGGTTGACAAAAAGTCTCTCATCCAAAACAGTTTACTGTTGGTTGACAAAAAGTCTCTCATCCAAAACAGTTAACTGTTGGTTGACAAAAAAATCTGTCATCCAAAACAGTTTACTGTTGGTTGACAAAAAGTCTCTCATCCAAAACAGTTTACTGTTGGTTGACAAAAAGTTTCTCATCCAAAACAGTTTACTGTTGGTTGACACAAAGTTTCTCATCCAAAACAGTTTACTGTTGGTTGACAAAAAGTTTCTCATCCAAAACAGTTTACTGTTGGTTGACAAAAAGTCTCTCATCCAAAACAG